CAGTTACCTTTTCAAAGAATTTGCTGGGTTTGGGTTTTTTCTCCCGTGGAATTTTTTCTATATGCCAATGACACTTTGTGGAGAAATTCTGAACTGCATTTAGGAAGAGAGCTAAAACTTGTTTGTGGGTTTAACTCCCACATATCCTCCCTTCATATCCTTCCACTGAAAACAGACCGATGGTGCACTAAACCAGGCTTTGGTAGAAGCCTTCCTAAGGGAGGATCTAAGGGGGAAAAGCCAAATGAGTTGCTTACATAACCTACCTACATATACACACTTAGTACTCTACAGGTAGCATAAAGTCACCTTGTTAAAAAACAGCAGGAGGAAAGAAAACAAAATCACACAGAACAGCCTTCAATTGCTTTGAGACATGTTAAGAACTGTATCTGGTAGATAGCTTTATCTTGCAGTTAGTCTTTTATAAAATTATCCAATGCATGTACTTACATATGAGTATACTATAATAACTTCAAGTATTTTTTCTCCTTGTTAGAAAGGGAAAAAAAAAAAAAAAACAATTAACAAATGCAATATAAGATCCTACTCTAGGTTTAAACTAATGGCAAAATCCCTAATGATTTTGAGAGATACAAAATAAGCCCATGAATGCTGCCAAAAGCATCACACATTAGCACGATTATGACTTACCTAATAATAAATGAATAAATACATAAGGGGGAAGATGGAAAACCTTTTCAAGTTGTAAAAGTTCCAAGACCAATGCTCTATTCTTCTTAAAAGAAACTTGGGAAAGCTCAGTGTGAAGTGTTGATGAAGTTTTCCTCCCAGTTTCACTTGACAAAATTAGCTCAACTATTAAGAACAGCTTTTAAAATTCCCATGGTGTACACCATTCTTCAGCAAGATATCCAACACAAACATAAAAGACAGCAAAACAACTCTGAGAAATACATTTATTGATTAAAAAAAAAAAATCAGATAAATAAAAGACGAAACCGTGAAAGATTGCTTTGTACATAATGTTTTACTTTACATTTTAAAATCTTAGTTAATGAGTTGCAAATCCCATTGCATACTTAAAATACTCAAAATCCTCCACTATTTTTGACAGCTAAAAGACATGAGGCCTAAAAATGATTAGCACTGTCCAACAAGTGACAGTTCAGTGTCTCAGGATCAGATGAAAGTTTGAGAATTACTAAAAAAAAAAGTAACAAAGACAACAACAGAAATAAACAAGTACATAAAATGGAAGCTTCCTTATTCTATTCTTTTAAAGAAGCATTATTACACAGTAAATTATTTCCCGGGTGCAAACTACATCACCTTCATTCTATACAGCCCATTCCTGCAGCTCCACCGCTGCTCTGCAAGTTTGCAACAATACTTACTTGTCTTTGCAGTAACAAATAATGCAGTTGCTCTTACACTTTTTGTAGCTGGTTTCAAAACCCAAGCAGAAAACTACTGCAGAACTAAAAATAGCATTGCCACTAAAGGTGTGGAAAGTAGACAGAGAAAAAAAAAAAGCCTGCCTTATTAGATCTACCTGTGGCTAACTGAATCATTGCCTTTCATGTGGAATGTAAAGCTTTTTTAGCTAGTAACGTGGGGGACTCCATAACGTCTGTCTCCATCGGTACTGATGCAGAATTGGAGCCCTAGTCTCCTTTTATGTGATGTATTGGTAGTGAAAAAGCTACCCATCCTTAAAATTGAGACATTACTCCTTACGTACACAGAAGTAACTCCAAAAGCAGCGAATCAAATGATAATAAAAACATTCACTAAATGTTCAAATAAAAATGGGTGCAACATATTCACATACAAGTGAAAATGTTTCTTTGTTATCGACTGGGAACTCTGCATGTTACATCAAGAAGAGATCAGATAAGTTTTGCAAAAGAGGAATTATGTAACGTACAATATGGTCACATCACCTCTAATTCCAAGGAAACGTTCTTGTTAAACACACAGGGAGGGAAGGGAGGAGTTTTTCCCTTCCATTTTTTTTTAATGGAATATGTGAACTTTACAGCTGACAGCTGAGAAAGAGGCTCTTTTAAGACATAGTACATTCACCGACCAGGTTTACAACTCAATCCAAGAGTACATCCAGTCAAAAATCAGGCACTGTAAGAGGACAAAGCTTAAAAAAGAAGGTTAATTGAAAAGCAAATATTAAGGAGATATTCAAACACGATCTGATATCCCTACAAGCTGCTCTTCGCAGGCTTTGCCCACCATTACAACCAGCATCACCCACCTGTTTGTTTACTCGTTCTTGGAAGTAGGAATACGGCAAACAAGCAGCATGAGGAAGCAGTACACAGAAGAGATTGAGCAGGCCCCGCAATAAATGCTGACCACCGCGCTTCAGAGTAAGAGGTCGAAGTCAAACGTCACCTCTTTTCGCAGGCAGGAGGAGAGGCAACAAGCAGCGAGGGCATATTCTTTCTACACAGACACGCTGTGGTACGGAACGGGGAGGGGAGAGTCCTTCCGTCATTACAACACGCGGAGCCGGCGCCGCCGCGAGGAGGGCACAGCCGGGCCGGCACCCATCATCGGGCACGGCCTCCGCCCGAATCGCCCCGCACCGCCTGCCCTGTGCGGGCTGGGGGAGCGAGGCGGAGCTGAGAGCTTTCGGGACGAGACGCGGAGCTCCCCGAGTTCAGGGGGACGTCGCATCGGCGCGGCCCGAGAGCCCGGGGCACGTGTTGTGACAGGGAAATAAAGGAACGGAGGAGCGGCTCGCGATCCTCCCACAGAGCCCCGGAGGCACCGAAACGGGCGGACAGAGAAAGCGGAGAGAGCCCCCGGCCCCGCGGGCCGCCGTTTACCTGGAAGTCGGCCAGGATCATCTCTCTGTCCATGTTGGACGCCATGGCGGCCGGCGGCGGCCCCGGCTCCGCTCTGCCCCGCGCAGCGAGAGCTGTGCCGGCGGGAGCTACGGGCTCATGGAGGCGGCGGGCCAGGCCCGGACGGAGAAGAGCAGCAGGCGGAGGAGGAGGAAGAGGAGCAGGAGGAGGAGGGCCGGGAGGCGGCGGGGCGGGCGGGAGCCGGGGCCGAGCAGCGCTGCCTAGCTCAGCGGCCGGCCCGGGAAAGAGGAGAAGGAGGAGGCAGCGCCGCTCCCTCCCCGCCCGCACGGCGCCTGTCGCACATTTTGCCTGTCATCGAGGTCGCAAAGAGGCGCTTTGCGGCCGACACGTGACCGCCTCCTGTCAAGCGCTCGCGGAGCGGAGGAGGAGGGAGCGGGGGAGGCGGTGCCTTTCCGGCGCTGACCGCGCGTTCCTGCTGAAAGAGGGAGCGCGCGCCGCGCTCGCGCCTCCTTCCCGCCCAGCGCGCCTGAGAGAGCATAAGGCCGCCCCGCCCCGCGCCTAGGCCCGGCCTGAGGGGCGCCCCGCCTCGCCGCGGGGCTCCTGGGGGGAGCCGTCTCCTCAGGGCCGCCCCCCGCCCCGAGGCCGGCTGAGGGCGGCCCCGCGGCCCGGGGAGCGGCCTAACGAGAAATAACGGCGGGCATCCAACGGCGTCGCCGGCAGCCCGCGCTCGCCCCGGCGCCGCGAGAGGCGGCTGCGCGGCGTAGCGCGGCCGAATCCCGGTTTTTCCGTCTGCCCTCACAGCCCGGTGCCCTCACAGCCCCGCGTCAAGCACGAACGCTGCGCTCAGCGATCGCTGCGGCCGGCGCGAGGTGCCCGCCGTCTCTCGGGTCACGGGCCGAGCGCCCTGCTCGCGATGACGGCCCGTGGAGCTCCGTCACGCCATCTCGGAACCGAGCTCCTTCCCCAGCTCTAGGAAAGAGAATCCTTTATTGTTTTTCTATTCGCGTCGGCGGGAGCCGCTGCCTGACGAGTTTTCATATTCTGCTCGATGGCAAATAGCAGAGCGAAGAGCAGGGAAGGAGAGCGGCCGTGGGTCCCGTCTGTGTGGGGGGAGAGCGAGGGAACCGGCGCAGCGGGATGGCAGGGCTGCGAGCCGCCCCGGGAGCGCCGCTGGGCGCCTGTGGGACGCGTCCGGTGCTCCTCGGTGGCTGCAAAACTACGCAGAGTTTCGAGGTGGATGCAAGCCGTGCTAAAACACCACTCGGGATGGAAAGGCAGGGGGTCAGAAAAGCTGGCCCCGAGAAAAGTTAGATGTTACATTTTACCTGCTTTAGTTTAAGCTGGCGAGGCTTCCCGAGAGGTTTCTTACTGTTCTTACGGCTCACAGCCGTTCGACCAGCGCTGCCCTCACGGCGCTGCCGTCGGTACCGGGAGTGGTGCGGTGCCCGTGGCAGACCGGGCTGAGCTACAAACAAATCCACCCCCGCATTACTAGAGAGTAACTGTAACGAGGGCTGAAAGGCGAGGTTTGGAAACTGGACCGGAGCCAGTTCATTCCTGGCACCGATTTGTGTTCTAGGTGTGCTGTCAAGATAAGTTACACCGTGTTCACGTCTATCACAGGATTATTTTAAATAATGATATCTTCTCTGGATCAAGACGGGAAGGATTTGATCCAGAATGTGAAGGAGAGGCGAGCGGCCCGACGTGCCCCGGCTGGGGAAGCTCAGGTGAGATTCACAGCGAAGCTTTCCGTTCTCGCAGCTCCACACTCCGAGGTGCCCTCGGACAGCGCCGCAGAACACGGCCGGCTCTGTCCCTGCAGCCCTCCGGAGGGGGTTTTGCTGCCCATCGGGGCAATTCCCTCTATTTGACGGTATCGTTACCACCGCCGAAAGGAAATGATTGCAATGGGGACGCTTCTTTCTGGAAAGATTGTTGGATAGATGTCTGCCCGCTTGTTTTGACCGGGCAGTGTCACTCGCAGGAGGCCTGCAGCATCCCTGCCGTACTTCATTATTTTTGCTGTGTTATGTGATTAACAGAACACAGGGGCTTGCTTTGTAGCTGTAAAAACAAGCAGTGGGGGGCTGCTGCAAGGCCCCGAGTCATGTTCTGCAGTACATCTGCACAGCGAACAGCACCAAACCTGGGGATCCGGGGCACTGATCAGTCACGAAATTGGTCTTATTGAAGTCGCCTGACACCAAATCCGAAGAACTGCATGTTATTTCATTTTCATGCAGAAAAGCAACTGGACTTGAATATACAGGTGTCGTATATATATAGCCACGTATCTCTAGAGTTATCTCTGAGGGAAATTACAATTCATACTTCTGTTAACAATGTTGCCTGCACTGTTGCTTCTGACAGAGAACTGTCATAGCAAGGCCCTTAAATACGTTTTCTTTTCCCCTCGTTTCGTGGCTGTGGACATCCGATAGCCAGAGCACGGCGTTTTCCTGCTTCAAGCGTGCTCACCTCACTACCGTTCGCCTTTCTGCACTCATGAACGAGGGGCGGTTGGGGGATCCCAGCAGAAAAGCCGCGCAGCCGGGCTGTAAGAGAGAGGCAGCGATCGCCGCGCGCCCTCCCATCACCTCGGGGCCGACCGTGTCTCCTATCGGAGGCGCCGGCCGTCCCGGCCGGGGTGCCGCGGTGCGCCCGGCAGCTCCCCGGTGCAGATCGCCTCCGGGCTGCCTCCCGCGCGGGGCCGTTCTAGCCAACGTCTCCGCGGTGAGAAGAGGCGGGCGGGGTGCTGACGGACCCCGCCACAGGGAGCCGCGGCGTTGCTCCTTACCTCCCGCGGGGCTCTTTTGGGCGGAATTCAGCCTCCCCATGCTTCCTGAAACGTAAAGCAACGAGAGCAGCGTAGGGCACGGAGCGCTGCTGTCAGAAGGGCGCTGCCATCTCCACGCTGCGCCGCCGCTGCTCCGCGGCCCTTTTGCGGGAAGAGGGAATCCCTCGCGTCTTCTCGGCGCCCCTTCCCCCCCAAAATGGTACTTGCGAATCCATCGCGAGCGGCGGAAAGTCGAAAAGCCGACGCTGTGCGCCGCCTCCCGCAGCGCCGGGACGGCTTCTCCCTGGCCCCGGGTCGCTCCCCGGGCAGGTGCCTGCAGCCGCGGGGCACGGCGTCCACAGAACTCAAACGGCCGATAAATGCCTTTTTTTTATTTTTCCTTTTCCCTTTCCCTTTTCCCTCCCCCTGTCCCGGCCGCGCGATGGCCGCGGGGAGCGGCGGGGCCGTAGGGGCGGGGCGGGCGCTGCAGGCCTTCCTGCCGGCCGAGCCGCAACTCCGCCGCGCCTCCTTAAATCTCTGCCGTTAAAATGTGGGCGGGTGTTTCAACTCAAAAAGCGCTCAAATTTTTTTTCTTTTCAAAAAAA